TACGACTTACGTACGTATACGTACCTATACTATATTATATATATATATATATATATATATATATATATATATATATATACGGTGCTGAACCAAGCCCGTAGGCTAGGTGTGAAGCTGATACACAATCCCATAGTGTACAAACCAAAGATAGCACCTTAACTGATGAGAAATAGGAATATGGAGATAGGGAATCAAGATATCTACCATGGTCATCCACAGTCCTTGAGAAAAACCCACCTGGGTGTGATAAAAGACTACAGAGAAAGTACAGGAGACAGTGGTGGTGGAGCAAGGAAACGGATGAAAAGTCCTTCTGACAAAACTTGGATCACCCGAGAATTGGTAGTGAAAAACCCAACACGGGGGAACAAAATTGGCCAAACATGTCCCTATTGGACAGAAAAAGACCTGTTATCACTAGGATTGTTGGCAGCAATGAACATGACATTGAGACAAACAGTGAAATTTTGAACCCCTAGTTGTATGAACTGGTAAAGGATGAGACGATGCAGGACATGAAATAATTATGGGAGAGGTCACAGGATCAGAATGAGACAAACAAGCAACCAAAGACTAAAGGGTCTAAAGTGGTCTCACAGATTCTACACACATGATTCCAAGGATTGAGGAAAATCTCCAAAAACAGACTGATGGAGAAAAGGAGCCATATGTAAGTCACAAAGATAAGTGGAAGGCAGATGGACCTGTGACAAGACAGCATCTTTCCCAATAAGATCCAAACAGCAGTGAAACCACATGTGAAGGGATAGGGCTGATTAGGACAATCGTGCCAATCTGGAGGTAAGGAGTGAAAGGGTATCCCCTGAAAACCCCTCAGTGGAGTGCTTCAGAATGGAGGTGTATGTTGGACAAGTACTGTAGGAGAGCTGTAAGGGGCAAAAGTGACTCCAACTGCTGGGAGATAAGAGAGGGTTGATTAGCCTGCTGATAAACCAAAGCATAATGATCATTAGCACATGAAAATCGAGGAATGCTAACACCAGCCCTCAACTGAGAAACAAAATGCTCAGCATGAACCCTGGTTTCAGTAGAATCAGTAAAGTCACATGTGTCAGAGGGGTGTGTTGCACTCCTATTGATGCATGATAATTTACATGGTTGTTGCATGATGATTTACATGCAAGACATAGCTGAACCACATTGATCGTAGGATATGTTGGTGTTCAAGGCTTGTGGCATGCAGAAAATTTGTTGCATATAGAGAGCAGCACTGAATGAGAATAGCTATCCATGTGAGAGAGGTAACATATCATATTGGAATGAATACTTACACCCTTTACAGGTACACGGTTAACCCTATCGGCACAGGTACCCTTTACTGCGCATGACACAAAGTTTTAGTGTCTTACATTCAAAATTTTATTAAACTACTTTTTGTTTATGTTATACCAATTAGAATAGCATAACAACTTAGCTAATAATCCATATTTTAATATTATACAAGTTTTAAGTTCTTAATTCTAAAATGAAATATATATAAAAAATCCTGAATTTCCACTAGTGTAACACACATGACAAATTTTGTCTTAGCATGTCATCATCCCTATTTTATCCATCACCCCTTGAAAATGTACGAAATTACGTAAAATGATCTCTATAAAATTATTATTGCTCAAACAGGCCATAATTTTTATGGCCTTTAATTTTTGTTTTGTTACAGAGCTATCAATGCAAAAATCAGACCCTTCCTGCCACACCCACCTGCCACATCCTCTCTTTCACAATTGGTTGATATTTCTCTCTTATGTTTCATTATATATTATTTATAACCAATAGAAAGTCAAGGTTTTCATCTATCAAATGGCGTAGTGTATAACATTGTGTTTTGAACAGAAAACCGTCAATTTCACTCAGAGTAGCAACATCTTTTCCGTGGGAAAGTTAATGACTTGGATGAATTTCTAACGGCTCTTGTCCCATAGTTAGAAAGCCAGGAAAGTTTTTAGGAGTAGGTGAATTTGTCTACTTTTTGCATGTTATTAGTCTATATTCTTTGGTGTATTATTTAATTAAATAAAAATTGCAAAGTGCTTTACTATAATCACTAAAAAAAAAAATATCAGGCTTAACTCTCCTTGACAATAGAGGGCAAGAAAAAGAGAAGATTGGGTAAGTACTTTA